AAGGGTTTAGTCTCTCCAGCTCCCTCTGACTTTAATTGTATTCATAATAAAAGTTATTGAGGGAAATATCAGATCATGAAAACACAAATCTTTCTAATAAATGAAGAATGCACACCAGATCAGATAACTAATCAAATATAAAGCTTGAGTTTAATCTGTGATCCGTCTTCACTGTTTACATGTTGAAGAAAATCTTGTCAGTCCGATCGGCTGCAGCGTCCAATCACATAACTGATGAACAATGAGGGGGCGTGTCGGTCGTTAAAAGACTTCCTGGAAGGCTGTTCCCGTGGGTCCTCGCTCATGGCTCCTCGGAGATCCCTCCTCCCGCCTCGATCCTCGATCCTCGCTCCTCCGAGCTAAATAAGAGCTTTGGGACGGCCGTCAATATGGCGGTGCAGAACAACATCCGGTTCAAGCGAGGATCGAGAAGCAAGGAAATGACAATTAAGAGACTTGGGATGTACCCAGGGGCAGAAAGTGAAGTGAAGCAGACTGAGGAGGTGCAGGTGATTGAACGCAGCAGTGTATAATTAGGGGAAGGGCAGACCATCACAGGGGTAAGACACAGACAAAGGCAGGAAATAAAGTGCAAGACACAGGGAACATCTAAATAAAACAGAATAAATAACTAAATCAAAACATAAATCGTGAAACGTAGAGCAGTTGTAGCTTCATCTATCCACACTTTAATTGTCTTTTCTGATGGTTTGTCCTGTTTAATTAGCTGGACGATGTAGGCAGAAGGAACAGAAAATATGATCTGATGGTCCAAAGTGGTGGCGGGGGAGGACTTTGTAGCTGTCAGGAATATGTGTGTAAACAAGGTCCAGTGTATTGTTTCCTCTGGTGAAGATGTGGACATGCTGGTGGAATTGAGGTAAAACAGAGCTGATGTTTGTTTGATTAAAATCACCAGCTACAATAAAAGTACCACCCGGTTGTTTCGACATGTCTGCTGATGACATCATACAATTCCTGTAGTGCATTTTTTTAAATGGCATCGGGAGGAATGTAAACAGCAGCAACGAAACACTGATGAATTTTCTGGGCAGATAATATGACCGGCATCTTACCATTAAAAATTCAAAATCAGGGGACCATTGTCCATCGACCGTGACTAAGTTTGAGCACCAAGCTTCATTGATGTAAACACACAGTCCGCCTTCTCTCTTCTTACCGGAGTCTTGCATCTGTCAGAAGTGTATAGTCTGCCCGTCAAGTGTAATAGTTTAAACTGGGATGTTCTGATCTCCCATTGCTGGGAGTCTTATTTCATCCATTTTATGTTCTAGCGACTGGACATTAGCTTGGAGCAGGCTGGGTAGTGGAATAACCTTAGGTCCAAGCTGTTTAGTCCTTTTCCCGACTCTCTTCCCCCTCTTCCACACCTCTTCTGATGGTGTTTTGTTCGGACGGTCTGGCTGAGTGGTCGGAAGATTTTGTGGACGATGATCGTCTCAAGAGCAGCTGCACTTAATCCAATCCTCTAACTTTGTTTTCTGATTTTTTTGATGAGGGTATTTTTGTCATAAATGTAGTTAAGTCTGTGGCAGCTACCGGCCGCCGCATCTGTTTATTGAAATACACACATAAACAAACACACACACACACACACACACACACACACACAATATTTTCAGATACAGTTCCTGTAGTGTGGTGTGTCTACTGCTACTTCTACCTCTGAATCATCTGCTTTTGCTTTCTCTCTCTTTTTTCCATGTCTTTCTCTCTCTCTCTCTCTCCATGTGACTTTTAACAAAGAGCGTTTGCATATGGAGTTTTCATTTGTGCAAAATTAGTTGTTTACAGTTTTAACTCATTTTGGAGATACGCCATAATGTAAGTAATTTTATGCGACGTGATAACGCCACCGAGCCTACTTTATATATTATACTAAATAGGTTCACCTCTTAGCTTAACCCTACAAAAAAGGGGGCTCTGCCTGAGTGGTGGTTGCGATAGGCGGCAACTCTGCAGTGTTTGGTTGGGGGCTACCCTCAGATCAAATCCCAATGGTCTCTTCAGTTTTGGTTTCAGGATTCAGCAGCAATGAATTGAATGTATGAGCATCACCAATTTTTATATTTAATTATGTTTATTTTATTTTATCATTATTGTATTTTTGTTAATATATTTTCCTTGCACTGTAAGTGACCACCTATCTCAGGGTTGACAAGCATTCAGAACAGGTCAGCAATTTAGTCTTAAGTCCTGTGGACGAGTTAGTTTTGAACTCTGTCCTGTTTTGCAGGGATACATCTACAACAATGATGAGCCATTCTCCAAGCAGCAGCTATGACATCTCGGTGGAGGCTCGAATTCAGAAGGAAGAAGAGGAGATTCTCATGGCCAATCGGCGCTGCTTGGACATGGAAAGCAGGTAAAGTACTCTCCACATACATACAGCCACCCTGAGTTGCCAAGGCAAGGCAAGTTTATTTGTATAGCACATTTCAACAACAAGGAAATTCAAAGTTGTTCACATAAAACCATTAAGAACACCAAAACATAATGCAAAATAAAAGGAAATTTAAAAACAATTAAAGCTGCAAGCAGCATTGATCAAGCCCTCGCATATTCACATGTCGAGGGTACTGGCAGGACCCTGGTTGATGCGGCCATGCATTTCTGTGACCATCATACACTGAGTGCGCGAGTTAAACGGTATTTCCTGTCGACCAATGGCGTTGCCAGATCTTAAGCCTCGAATGTTTTGAGTGTATCTCCGAATACAATTATATCTGTAATTCTGTAAAAATTGACAAAAACTTGAATGTGTCCGAATGCGCCTCAGTGTTAGTAACATAACATACTGTCAAAATGAATGCAGGTCTCAAAACCGACTGTTTGTTTGTGCAGGTAACTCTGATAATCTGAGAGACTCAAAGCTGGAAGAGTCGAGGAGAAATAGGAGAATGTACAGTTCCAGAATGTATAGTTCCATGTGGAAAAAAGTACATCTTTTTGTAAATAAATAAGTTTAAGCCAAAAGGTGAGCCAATGTAGAATAATCTATCATATAAATTAGGCTGGGTGCAATTTAAAAACAATTAAATTTACTAATAATGAAAACTCCACGTACAAGCGCGATTTGGAAACCTTTTCAATCCAATTTCTGCTCTCCAAACATCTCAGTTTGCACATATTTGGATCAGAGAAGTCTTTTTCTAGTGGTGTGCCCACGAACCCTTTTACAGTAATAAGTTCAGTGTTTGGGCCGCTGTAATTATAGAATCCTGCTTACATCCGTGCTTATCAGTAGGTGGCGCTATGACTATGAGTTAATATTGGCATGCAGAAGTCCTGAAGTCATGACAGTCATCAAGCATGTCAAGTTTGGGACAGTTTTGACAAAGTACAGTCGAGTTACAACAGCTTGATGGATGATGGTGAACCATGTAAAATGGCCATCACACCATATCCACGTCGTTCCATGAAACCTAAAGCCTTTAGTAACTTTTATTCACTAAGGTCTTTAGATTGTTCTGACCAAATTCGAAGTTGATCTGATTAATTCCCTAGGAGGAGTTCGTTAAAGTACTGCACCTGGAAATTGCAAAGAAAACACATGAAATTCATACAAAATTCAAAATGGCTAACTTCCGGTTGGGTTTAGAGCATGGATCCCTAAGACTTTTTTTTTAAGTCTACATGTGATACATCTGCTTACCAAATTTTATACATCTAGGTGAAACGTATTGCGAGGGCTGCATCGTCGAAATTTTGTAGGGGGCGCTATTGAGACGATTTGCCACTCTGAACGAATAAAATCATATTATATAACTTAATTTTGGGCTTGTAATCTGTGTGCCAAGTTTGCTTATGTTTTGAGCATTTTTAGCGTCTCAAAATTATCTTCGTTTTTCACGGAGAAGACTGCGTCGTCACGGCAACAGCGTTCGACGAGTTACATCAGTTTATTTGTTCATGAACACAATGAAGCATTATCAAGGTCTTAAGGCTTTTCTGACAACATTTTAGAGGGATGTGATTAATCTGTGAGGAGCGGGATGTAAAAGTACACAACCTATAACTTCCTGTCGCCACTAGGTGGCGCTATTACTATGATTCTAAATTGTCATATAGATGTGTTCAGGGTCAGGATGTTATGACATATGAGAAATTTGGCACAGATTAGACATTGTACGGCCGAGTTACAACAACTTCCTGTTTCGTGGCGAATGGTTGGCACGGATACATAGTTCAATAACTTTTTGATCTTTGAGTAACTTTTCACTGCCAAAGTCTCAAGGGTATAGTGACCAAATCTGAAGTTAATCAGGTCAAATCTCTAGAAGGAGTTCGTTAAAGTATGGAGCCTTGAAATGGTCAAAAAATGTCATAAAATTAAAAATGGCCGAATTCCTGTTGGGTTTAGTGAATAATAGGGGGCGCTATCAAGCCATATGTCATACCGCAGGTGGACACCCCAATCAGACTGCATTTTTC